AAATGAACAAACAATCATATATTTCTTTGGAGATGAAGGACCGGTGCCTGAAGCTGGCCACTCGACTTCAGTATAAGCGTTGTGATGGAGAATGAATGGAGTTTTGCCTTTACGTGCTCTATACGCTTCTATGCATTGATTTGTAGTTCGCGAATATTCAGGGATGCATCAGTAATATATATTAATTTATGATATTTTAATAGCTTTATGCTCTTATAATTAATACGAAACTTCATTATGTAAGTATTTATTTTATTGGCGTTGATCTAGTTGATGAAGTGAGGACTCGAGCAAGGTGGCTCAGTCAGTAACGCTTCCGATTTGTATTCGGGGAGTGCTCGGTTCGAATTGGGGCCGGAGCATTGCCTATCCTGAATGAAAATTTTCTTGGATTTCCTCAGCGACTCCATGAAGATGCCGGTTTCGCACCTGTAATATTTTTCAGATCACGAATCGCTATCGTTCAAGCAATTTGAGCTACTCGTGGCTTCATTTAACAAATCACAAACAAATGAAATAAAATAACACTAGACACGATAGGAGGGACACACATGTAGACAGAGACTGGTGGGAAGGATTTATGAAGTGTGCCCCTGAAATGAGCTCAGGTGCCATGATATACACACCAGGTTTCATAAACATTGGTTCAGCCGTCCAGAAGCTGATGGGGGCGGGGAAGATACACAGACAGCATGGAGATCGCATATGCCTACTTTCATTCTTTTTAAGATAAGGAAAGTATGTTAAAAAGGGGCAGCTGCAGCTACACTTTTGCATAGAAACAGATCAAGTGACAGCGAACTCAGCAGAGCAAGCGAAAGACGAGCTCAGATGCAGGCGTACAACCCTCCCTCCACCCTGTCGCTCTACCCAGGCTAGCCACCACTGCTGCAAGCCTTGAGTGGGGTTATCGCTAGTCTATACGTTTCTTCAGATCAAATATCATGCAGCAGCGCTGTGAGGCGCACAAATCCTGCAAGTCAGAATTGTCGCAGGGAGTTGGAACGTGAGAAACAAGGCTAAGGAAATCTCCCAAGAAGAAATTCATGTCACGTTTAACTACCAACGTGTTTACCTCTGTTTGATGGACTGACCCAAACGAATGCACTTCAAGTACCCACCGTAGCTTACGCTGATTCTCTCTTGTCCCTTTACTTTCTCTTTCTTTCTCCCTTCGCCATTCATTCTTCGTCTTCTTTTTTTTAATTTGGTTAGTGGGAGGGGGGAGTCCAGCTGGGTCCACTCGTCACGGCGGCCACTGATTGACCTATTGTACCTGGCCCGGGTGATTATGATGATGGTGAATTTGGAGGGATGAAAATTGGTAGGGGAAACCGAAGTACTCGGAAAAAATCCGCCCCAGCACCACTTTATCCACCAGAAATCCAACTTGACCAGACACGGGAACGAACCCGGACCGCCGCGGTGGGAAGCCAACGACTAATCGCTTGAGCAATGGCGCAGCCTTCGACTTCTTAATGTCTCACATTCGACGCCATGAAGTGCATAGTATTCCGCGGTACTCAGTTCACGTCATGTATTCGGTAGGTATCTGCTTCGAATCCTCGGCGGACTGTAGGCAATCCAGAGATTTCGTTCGATACAAGCTACGCAAAATCAAGTTCATACTACATATACAATATATGTATGAACACAAGGGAGAGGCTTCTCCAGAGTTCCTATACAGGGCGTTTCCCGACTTTAGGGCATAACTGCAGGAGGTGATTTCCTAAGTCTTTGTGATCAAAAAAGTTCATATAAACATGTGTCCGATTTTGAACGGTTACGGAGTTATCACCGTTTTAAACTCACAATAGAAGGTAACGATTACTGACAATAAACGGGACAAAATAATAAACCAGCATAATACATTATACATTTAAAGTATGAATGTAAAGTTAACTTCGTGAAATTACCTTTAATTTGAATTGATTGGTGCTTAAAGCTGATTTTCGAAAATGTCACCGCCGGCCGCAACACAGGCTGCCGCTCGGTTGTGAACCGCGCCGGACATACCAAACCACTCCGCTCTCAAGTGTCGAGATAACGAGAACGCTCTGTATGTAGCTGGCTAAAAATAGCGACCTGCCAGCTGACAGACACGGTTCATACGAGGGCGTGTACGGGAATGAAAAAACGCTCATAACTCCGTAATCGTCCAAAATCGGACACATGGTTATATGAACTTTTTTGATCACAAAGACCTAGGAAATCACCTCCTGCAGTTATGCCATAAAGTCGTGAAACATCCTGTATATCTGGGAGCCATTTCTAAAAGTATGAGTGAAAATAAAAACCAAATTACCTCTGTTGAGGAATTTGCTCCTTTCAAAGTTTTCTTAAAAAGTAGGCAAGAGGAGGGTCTCGTGTGGAAGTTATATCAATTTATACAGGATATATATACTTCCTTTCTTACTTACTAATGGAGCTGAGCCCTTCTTGGGAAGCCGCCAATTTTGCAGCCACGCAAGAACTTCCCAGAATATTTTGGAACCTGAAGGTTCATTACCGTGTTCACAAGAGCCCTCCACTGGTCCCTATCCTGAGCCAGATCAATCCAATCCATACCATCCCATCCTACTGATTACTCTCAGGTAAGGGTAGTCTATTCTTTTACTGCTATACATAGTCTGCAGATCTCTGAATAAATATAATACCACTGATAGACGTTTTGTCTCTACTTACTTCTGAAGCAATGGCTCCTCATAGGCGGTGTGCAGCTGAAGAAGCAGATGGGGAGGACGACACTGCATGGCGCTTGCCCACGCAGAAACTCGACAATTTTTATCCCTCTGAAGAGCAGTTTCTTCTCTCACATTTCTCAAGGACTGCCAACAAACAATAAAAATCATATAATGCCTTACAGAATCATACATTACAAAGTAACAGTAAAACCATCCGTGTAACAGGCCGTGGAGGCCCATAAGGTTGTGAGATGTTGAGGTTCCCACATTTTCTAGACAATCGACTCATAGATTGCGGCAAGGTTGTCAGCCCTATGCGGCGGCCGCCCTTTACCCCCAAGGATATTCCAAGGATATTCCTGGTACTCATTTCTGTTAGAGGGTGAGTCGACCCCAGGACCATAGTGCGGCTGGATGGATTAGGTCAAGTGAAAAAATCCAATGACCTCATCGGGACTTGAACCCGCGACCTTCCGGCTTGTAGCATAGTACCTCAACCAACTACGCTACAGCGTGCCCCCATATTACAATGTATTTCCTAAATTTTTGTCAGGAAAAGGATGAACACAGATTGCGTGGTTCAAGCTGACTCTCTGCTCCACTACCTTAAATAAAAATTCCTTTCTTGGATGCGCATTACCCAATCAGTATGCATACGTAGAGAATATTCTCCCCTAAAGACGATATGATACTATACCACTACAGCTGAAACGCACAGCAATTTGTTCATTTGCTAAAATAGCGTGTGTCCTGCTTCGCTCGTTAAGACAAGTGGTAAACACGCAGTATATGAAACTACCTTAACGACATATTAATGGTGAGGACTGAACACTTTGTTCTGTATATCAACAACTTAATTTCTTTCCATCAGGAAAATCACTAAAATTCTTCTTATAAATTCGTAAGGACTAACACACACATTCTATTAATACACTCATTCTCACTTGCTTGCAAAATTTTATTTTCCTACGTTTTGTCAATGTAGTACTGCTTCTCTAGATGTCACAGAATTCCGCACCTTTTAGCTTTTTTATATTGTTTTAAATTTAAAGTATTGAAAACTCCCGCCCTTAAATCCCAAAAGCGCCACCACGCAGACTGGTTACCGTGGATTGATTCGGAGATTGGGAGCGTAGACTTTACAAGAATTCTCCAATTTCACTGCCATCTGTAACAGTGACCAAAATCTCTCAAAGTAATGCCGGCGTCGGTAGCTTAGCTCGTGTTGCGCCCTCTCTCTGTCTCTTAGTACACGAGCAGAAAGTTTTAGTTGAAACTTTGGCAAACAAGGAGAATATCATTAGCATCATTAGGGACCCTTTGAACCCTTTGAGCTGAGCTAACCGAACATGACGTAAAAAAAAAAACCAACAGTATGTAACGCTGTGTAACACAGTACAAGTTCACTGAAAATTGCAAAATTTTATTTTCGTACATTTTGTCAATGTAGTACTGCTTCTCTAGATGTCACAGAATCCCGCACCTTTTAGCTTTTTTTATATTTTTTTAAATTTAAAGTATTGAAAACTCCCGCCCTTAAATCCAAAAAGCGCCACCTCGCAAACTGGTTACCGTGGATTGATTCGGAGATTGGGAGCGTAGACTTTACAAGAATTCTCCGATGTCACTGCCATCTGTAACAGTGATCAAAATCTCTCTAGGTAGTAATGCCGGCGTCGGTAGCTTAGCTCGCGTTCACCATCTCTCTGTCTCTTAGTACACGAGCAGAAAGTTTTAGTTGAAACTTTGGCAAACAAGAAGAATATCATTAGCATCATTAGGTACCCTTTGAACCCTTTGAGCTGAGCTAACCGAATATGACGTAACAAAAAAAAACCAACAGTATGTAACGCTGTGTAACACAGTACAAGTTCACCGGCGTTTCGGAGGATCATAATGCCTCCGTATTCTGGGTCGAAGGGTAAGCCAAATACGTAAGTAGCCAGTACAAATAAAGCGGCAAGTGAAGTCTTACTTCTCGTTCGGCTCACTCTTCGACCCTGAAGATGAAAGTATTAAATTTGCACGAAAAGTCAATGAACTTCTACTAGATTACATAGCGTTACATACTACTGCTGCGAGAACTTCAAATACAACAACAAACTTCGACTCAGACTGAGGCTTTTGGGGTGATGACAACGCGTGGTGCAGTAAGAGGTTACGACCTTCTGACACGATCTGCTGCCTCCATGTCGATTTTCAACGTGTAGATCGAGGAGGCCGGATCATCAGAAATGTCGGTAGCCACCTAGTAGACTCAGGAAACTAGAATCTAAATCTTCATTGCCGTCAAACCTTCAATGTTACTGCGACATACAGTAGTACAAGTGTAGCAAAACGTCCCGGGTCCCCAAATCAGTTTCGGTAATCTTCTGGGTTATTTATGACGTTTACGACCTTTACGACGCTCTCATAAGTTGGACTATGTAGACTGAATGGCACGTAGGCAGACAAATACACAGTCTGATCATAAGATTCAAGAGCTTCAAGAGCTTCAGGGCTCTGATATCGTTACATGGAGACAGAAGAAGAGACCGAAGAGACGACCACGATGTTTCTTGGACTTGGACATGATTCGGAATGTAGAGATCGGTAGAGAGCGTAGAGATCTTCCCGAGAGATCGATCATCACTCATCATCACTCGTATTGATATCTAAAATGGCAGATCGTTCAGTGGTTAAGGATGATGACACTTAAGGTTTCATCAATGATAGTAAAACAAGTGAGGTAACGAGTGCTTGTTGTCATAAATTTAAAATAGAACCCAGATCAGCACAAAAAATTATTGAACTGCTATAAGAAGAGATAAACACGCCCAATCGTACCGTAAGTACAGACTCATGTTACGTGCACAGTTCGAACTCAAAATAAAAAGGGGGGGGGCGGTTAGGGAAACTGGGTCCTTGTGTTCATGAATCTCCTCTGGAACATCTGGCTAACCTGACTTAGGTTTTTTCATGGGTTTTCACAATACCACCAAGCAAATGTTGATTGGACTTTGTATCCTTAATCAGGTGACAAGCACCAAGACTTTTGAATACATTATTTACTAAACATCAGCCATTTGATACTATATAGTTTCCGCTACGAAGTGTGTTGTGAAATCATGAAAGGAAATGTGGTGCAGGAGCAGTTTTGAATGTTATTAATAATCGGACACAACTTTCAGCGTCAGAAGAGATACTGTCCAACATCAAGATTGAGCCCAATGACAGCAAACTGGAGCTTCAGATAGCCCCGAAGAAAGCATGGAGACTGAAGCTGCAGGATGCTGTTACAGAATCAAAGAACAGTGTAAAAAAGGTACATCACATTGGCAGATTTCCTTTTTAATCCTTACAAATGTTTGGCTGTACTAAGGATCATTTCTCTTGTTCAGTCAACCCCATTTTCCCCTTACCTGCCTCTCTGTTTTTTCTCCCTGACATAAGAGGGGAGCAGCCCTATGGATAGGTGGTGGGAGATGATGAAATTGTCCCAAGCTACAGAATGCTGTGTACCATGTTTAGTTCGTACACAGTGTCTCCATATGTTCAAGTTATAAAATGTTGCACAGAACTTTGTAGTAAAGTTCATTATCATGTTCCCTTCTTGGTCACTGTACAAAACCATTGTATCCTAGGGAAACTATATTGTAATTTAACCTGAGGGCTATTAAATTGTTTGTCTCACAGTTTGTTGTGGTGGGCCTCAAACCAATAAATCATATCTTCACATTTAAGTAATGTCATCATCCTTTTGTACTGTGCTACAAACTGAAAGTTCATGGGTTTGATTCCCAGTGAGGTAATTGGATTTTTAGATTGACCGAATCCTTCCAGTCACACTGTGACCCTGGGATCAACTCAGCCTCTAACAGAAATGAGTACCAGGAATATTCTTGGGGGGGGGGNAAGGGCGGCCTGTGTGTAAGGCTGACAACCTCACTGTCATCTGTGAGCTTTTTGTCGAGTTGTCGAGAAAGTATGGGAGTCTCAACATCTTGCACCCCTATGGGCCTCCATTTCCTGTTACAGGGAGAGCTATACCTTTTTTAATACTGTCATCCTTTCTTGTATTTTGGTTATTGAAACCTGTTATGGCCTCTTGTCAAATAGGCACCAGGGGCTGTTTCCCCAGGTGTGGGAGTGGCATGGAGCTGGCCACTCACCTCCATCTAGAGCATAACTAATTAAGCCTAGGGACAGCTTTGCATTTATGGATACTTCAAAACAGAGTGCTGTATAGCTACATAATTTGACTGCTTGTGATTTGTGATGTTTGTAGGTGGCAGAGTCATTACTGGGGAGAAACTCAGAAGGAAACACGGAAGGTGGTTCCATTGTGCTGAATGCTACCGCAGAATTCTGCCGTACGTTGGGTGACATCCCCATTTATGGTCTGGCTGGCAACAGGGATGAGGACACTCAGGAACTACTTGTGAGTGCAATATAACCATCCGCAGATAAGTGTACACTTGGCAAGGCACTTTGATTTAGCATGTGTCAAGACTAGATACAGTCCATTGCCCATCTACAGTTATTTACTGCAGCTGCAACAGAATTAGAATATATTTTAATTATAGTTGAATTCCATGATAATGGATATATAAATTACTGAACTGGAAATATCCAACAGAAATCCTAGAAATGAAAGCACTTGTTATACAATATGAATGTGATTTGAGATGGTAGAACCTTTTTTCTTCTTCTTCTTCTTGACAAGTGGTACCTTCTGGAATAAAATGCCGTATAGTGATAAGGTCCATAAGCATTTTGAAGGAATGTCAGTGGACTTACAGGATGTTACTTCCCAGAAGATGGTGCCTTTTGTAATCTCTACAAGAATCTCAAATCCAGTTTTTTTCCCCTATATTTTATTTCTTTTTTCTCCCTGTGCCATGTGCATGATACAAGGGTAGAAAAGACACTACTAGGAATTATATGTGAAATTTAAATAGGGATGAATAAATAGCTCAGATCATGACTAAATGAAAAACCAATAGTTCTTTTAATTTTATTCATTGCAAAGTGAATTGAATGTTAATCGTCACAGTATTCTCACTGCAAACTCAGAATTAGTTTGGCAGGTGTACATTGCTTGGCAGAATGAGAGTATGTTTCTAATAGATCTGTAACTTTAAAGCATACTATGATATTAAAAAGATATTTTGGCAAAGAAGTTTCAAGATGATCAGTATAGTCAGAAGAATTGTATCTTCTGTGGTATCATCCGAATTTCCGGGGGAACATGTCACCTGAATCTTCAGGGTCAAAGAATAAATGAAACAAAAAGCCAGCATGAAGCAGGTAGGAAGCTTGGCTTTGTCACCTGCCAATGCTGGTTTCTTGCTTGATTTATTCTTCAACCCTAAGATGGAGGCGACATGTTTCTGCAAAATGTCTGATGACTTTCGACAGACCACACGGCATTATATCCCAGATGACAGAAGTCTTCAAAGCCACTGCTGTCAGAAGCTCAAATCCTACACAGTGCAGTCAGTACTTTACAGTGCAGTAATTATTTATACAGTGGCTGGTGGGTAAGCAGTTCAGATTTCAGTCTATCTCAAGGTAATTTTGAATTGGTAATTTTTGGAACCTACTGATGGATTTATGTGAAACTCTGTATTGTCATCGTGCCACTCACATGTTCTTTTAGTTGTCTACCATCAGCCATATTAATATGGTGACTGAATTGGGAGCAACACTAGAGCCACTTAAATTAGGTCCTTAAGCTTGGGTAAGCTGATATACTCATTCAGAAGGTTCTGAGTTCGATCCCCACTCGCATCTGTGTACAGATGTTTCTGCTCACAGATGATGCCTTCACATCTACCAGAGTTCGAGCTTCAGGAATACAAAGGATACCCCCCCCCCCCAATGGGTTAAAGCACATGTTAAATTGTAGGGTCCCTCTGCTGACCAGCACTATCATGATTACTGTCAGATTATTGTCTTCCACTCAGATGCTTTCAGTAGAACATTTCGATATATACTTGTTGTTTTGACTTCCTTTTCTCCCATTCTGTTTGTGGCAGTTTGTAACTAGCCAATATATTGTGACATTTGAGTGTGTAAATACCGTGTACTTGATATAGTTTGTTGTGTAGGCATAGAATGTGGCAGAATGGTTCATTTTGCAGATAGGTTGCATGAATTAGGAAGAAACATGCCTCAAAATTATTACTATCCCATTGTACTTTTATTAAAATATTTTGTACTTCTTTTGGACTTCATCCATCCTCTGGTATGTAAAAGACAAAAGACCATGACATTTTGGAGACTGGATCTGTCTCCCTCTTCAGGTGGATAGGGGAGGATAAACCTACTCATTTGGGCTCGTTAGAAAGAGCTAGTCACAATCACTGGACAAACCCCAGTCTGTAGAAAAACAACCTATGAACAACCGACAACCGGTTCCATCAGTGGGAGAAAAGAATAAACTCACAATAAAAACATGATAGAAAATTTGTGCCAAGCATGCACTTGTCAACTATGTAAAGAAACAGAAGTATAGGTTAAATTCCATGAATTCAGTTAAAAATGAAAGTAAAAACTGGATAATGCATGCCTAATATGCATGGATAAAGAATCTTGCCACCATGGTGACTTCCGGGAATCAGACTAATCCCCGGAACGAAACTTGCAGGAGTGGTGGAACCACTAATATTCATAAAATTACATTTTTGATTTGTTAACCTCTTCATTGATGAAGCCAAAAGAAGTACAGTATACACCATCATCAGAATCCTTTCAAGTCTGTCTAAAATATTTTGTGTTAATCATTTCAGTCCCTACGACTTTAATGTGCTGTAGCATGCCCATTTCTGGTTATTGGCTGTATGAGTAAGTTGTGTCAGAAAACGGAATGTTACATATTTTTATTATTTTATAAAATAACACATTGAACTATATATGGATCATACCCTTTTTTCTGGCTGAAACTTCAGGATGAAAGGGTTTTACGTGTTACTTGGAAACATGGCCACATTCTGTAAGATCCTAAAATTCAGTGACTTTAATGTTGTCTCTATTTCTCATTTCAGATACCTGTCTCATGAATTTCATGGAAAGGGACCTGGCAAAATAAAGTGGAGAAACGAATGAAGAAAACTGAACAGGAAGGAGTGAGTATCAGTCCAGATCTTATCATGAGCTCTTATTTCTAATACAAGCCAGAAGGTCATGGGTTCAAGTCCCGATGAAGTCGTTGGATTTTTTTCAATTGACCTAATCCTTCCAGCTGCGCTATGGCCCTGGGGTCGACTCAGCCTCTTAACAGAAATGAGTACCAGAAATTTTCATGGGAGTTAAAGTGCAGCCGTTGCGTAAGGTTGACAACCTCACTGCCATCGATGAGCTGATTGTCTAGAAAATGTGGGAACCTCAACATCTCACAGCCCTATGGGCCTCTACGGCCTGTTACAGGGATAGCTTTGCTTTACTTAGTATATTGTAGCACACTGCTGCACTTCATTTAGTACCAAATTGTTTCACAGTCTCACATGCAGCATGTCCTTCTGTAAAACTTCCTAAAAGTTATTCATTACATGTTTTGACCTATAAGATCATTATCAGGTGTTTTAAAATTATGAATGAGGAAACTGCTGTGCTTCCATATTGTGGTTGTTGGTCATCACTAAGCGGTCCTTTCTATGCGCATGTATATATGAAGTGGCAGGTTGTTCTGCCTGTTGTGTTATGCTGTGTGTCCCTCTTGCACTGCATAACACTGCAGGCAGAGCAATCAGCCACTATATATATACGTGCGCATAGAAGGGACCGCTTAGTGATGACCAACAACTGCAATATGGAAGCACAGCAGTTTCCTCATTTATAATTTATAATTTTATAACACCTGATGATGACCTCATAGGTCGAAACATGTGCTGAATAACTTCTAGAAAGTTCTTTAGAAGGATGTGCTTCACACGAGACTGTGAAACCATCTGATGCTATTTCGAAGTAATGCCCCATAAGGAAGCAAATTTTAGTTATCGTTACACGTCCACGGTTCCACATAGCAGATAGATATGCATCGACACTTTTTGTGCATTCATTTTGTGCTGACTACAAACATACACAGTAGCTTCAGTCCTGGGACAGAAGCGAATACTGCAACTTTGTGGCAAGTGAGATGGAGCCTCCTCATAAAACACAGCATATTTCTTCAATTGTCACTGGGCTAGTAGACATAGACACAGACCATGGGTTGGAAATTGGGAGAAATTGATGACTTCAAGCAGCAGAATAACTTAAAATTTGGCCAGTTGTTAGGGTAATCAGTGACAGGAGTTGCAGATATTACAGAATGTGTAAGGACAAACAGACTGTGCCCCATCTGAAGGAGATTAATTCTTTTTTTTTTTTTTTGTTTCCAGTTGATGAAACAGATGAGCTCAACAGATGCCCACTTAGAATGCTTAGTCTCTTACAGCAGAAGCAGAAAGAAATGCAGTCTCCATTCGTGGTCCTTAGTGGCAGTAAACAAACATGAGTATGCTTTTTGTCTGCATTCATTGAAGGGAACAACCAGTTCTAATTAAAAAAATTGTATTCATTAACTGACAGACTGAGACACGAGAACACAGATTACTTGATGAAACCAGTGAACTAAATTCAAAATTTGTCTAATCTTGACATTGCAAATAACAGTAATTCATAGCTTTAACTTAAAGGCTGAGTAGATGGGAAGCCATATAGTAATGTCGATAATGTCATATGGTGATTATTCTGCTGCAAAGTAAATATTTGTTTTTCTCTGAGCATGTCACTTGTCTTGTTATAATTTGTAGACAGTACACTATAAAGTGTCATTTTAATGATGGATCGATTAATGACTTTCCTCCTTGGTATTGTGAAGCTTTACTAAAAATTTCTGTTTTTGATGCAGAATATGAAATTTCATTTTCAAAAAGAAAACCACCATGTGAGGTTTTTGTGAGATCTTCAAGTTTAACATGAGCATTACTACATTTTCTTTATTTCTTTCTTTTTCAGGGCAACCATCTGAAAAACAAAACTGCAAATTCTTCATGAAATATGCTGGCACAAACTCTGAACTTTGGCGTGTTTTTATTGTTTCTTACTGTCTGGAATATAATCTCTGTTTTTAAGTAAGACACAGCTTGCAGCTGCCGACAGTGCCTCTGTGTACTGGAAGGAAGGCCACAGAGTTCATGTCACATTCAAATGATTACAGTGGTTCTCCTGCTTCCTTAGGTAACCTGTTGGCACCTGTAAGCTGGGAAGTACAATTTGTAGTGATTAGTTGCTTGCTTATAGGACTTGAGCCAGATGAACAGTCTCTAAGCTAAATCAGACATGAAGTAATTATATTTGGCCTTTCGTGATTGCAATAGCAATATTGTATCCTTCCAAGGGAAGAAAGAAACCCTTGTTCAGTTGTAGGCCAGTATGAAAAGCTGTAAAATTATACAAGCAACAGAATCAGAAAGTGTACAGTCTACTGCAAATCATTGTAAAGCACCACTGATATATCACTGAAACATTTGTAATGGGTTATAAAAGTAACTTGGTTCATCCTGGTCTGTCGCACTAGTAATTGTATCTAAGGATTTTAACCACTGGCCAGTGTGATTGATAAAAGTTGTTTTTAATTTTTCATCCTTTACATGTTTTGGTCAAAACGACCATCTTCAGAAGGATATTATCAATACGTATGGAAACTACTGTTACATGTCATACATATATATGTTATATCTTTTAACTAATATTAAGATGTACATTGATTTGTTAAAACATCTAAAAATTAATACAGTTAGTCTGTTTGCCAAATTATGTTCAGTATTTGTTTTAAACTATAACCAATTTGGTTTCTTGTCCTTACACTTTTGTAATAATTTTAAATGTTCTGATAAATCAAAGTACATCTTAATATTAGTTAAATGATATGACATATATATCTATGACATGTAACAGTAGTTTCCATAAGTGTTGATAATATCCTTCTGAAGATGGTCGTTTTGACTGAAACATATAAAGGATGAAACATTGAAAACAACTTTTATCAATTGCACTGGACAGTGGTTACAAATTTTATATATGGTTATAAAATTCCTGTGTTTAATCCACATGCAGATGATAAAAGAGTCTTCTGTAGGTATGTGAAAACTCGAAAGACGCATAGACTCGGCCAATAATATCAGGCCAGGAAACTGTGTAAGACTGATCTTAAGGCATCTTCGTGGGGGTGGTGATAATGATTTGAACCCAAAATGAATATATAAGTCAATGCTAAACATTATCTGAAGTCTGAATTGTAATCCTTATGTGTTGCTAATCTTCACTTATGAAGGTACAAAGACAGATTACAAGTGTTCCCAAACTTACATTTTTCTTGATATCAGGAATATATAACTGTAAGTTGACAACCTCAGTGACATTCATTCCAGCCACCTAATTATTTAAGACAGTTTCGGTATGTTTTAGTCTTTGTTAATAGAAATTAACTTGAAATCACATTATTACAAAAGTTGTTACATTTGTGTATTTCATCATGAAACAGGGATTATAATTTAAAGCATGTACACCTACTCCATTAGGTGCATGCAGAATATGTTGTTCAGTTAGCGTGGTTACTTGCAAGGTTGGAATTATGTGTGGAGTTGATTTTAGTTTGTAACATTCTCACTCAGAGCAGCCTGCTTGTGGTAATTGATGGTCAGCACTATCCGTCCTTACCATAGGTAATTAATTTTTCAGTAAATGGTTTTCAAACAAAAGGTATGACACACCTATCAAAAGAAACTGAAGATTTTGCTTCTTTATCGGTCAGTATCCTGTTGGGAAAGGTACAATAAAATAGTTTCACTTGGTGTAGTATTTAAATGTATATCATCTTTAGGAAAAATGATATAAAAATGCTTAAATTTCGTGCTATATTTGTATGCACTCAAAGTTTCACTGTAAACTTGAGGTGGCCACATGCAGTTGGAGCCCATGCAGGGCCACTGAATCATCAGGACGTAGCTTTAAATGGTTGCAATGGTAGACTTGCCATTTATTAATTTGTACAGATTTCCTAACAGACTCACTACTGTGATGAAGACTTGTTCAAACAACTCTCTGAGAAATTTATTTCATTATGTAATGTAATTCATCTGCACTGATCACAGTTCAGTTTTATCAGTACAGCACAATTACTGTATGGCTGTAGTGTGCCAATATTTCTTGTTCATAAATGGAAGTACAGCCATCTGCAAGCACCAGTGTTAAGTGCAAGATTTGAGATATTCGTGGCAGTGATCATGAGAAAGTTGGAAGTGACGCTGTATAGGTGGGTAGGAGTCAGCCAACAGTTTGGAGGAATGTACTGCCAGCTTTGTAAAGGTAGACTTGTACTACATACAGTCTATCACATCGAAAAGTCTTTGCCCCTATTTTTTTCAGCTACAATAAAACACATACAGAGAAATCAAAATACAGGCAGTGTTCTAAGTACCTTTGACTATTGTTCCACATAGTCACCACCCTGGTTCAGTCATTTGTCCCATCACACCACTAGTTTCGAGATGCTGCTGTTGTAGAATTCGGCTGGTTGAGTGCGGAGCCACTGCTGGACCGTGGTTTTTGTGTCATCGTCGGAAATGAACCTCTGGCCTGACAGAAACTTCTTCAGTGGACCAAACATGTGGTAATCACTGGGGGCGAGGTCTGGACTATACGGTGCATGCTCCATAATCTCCCATCCGAATGACTGTGGTTGGGCGGCGGTCCTGTGTGCCACATGAGGCCTGGCATGGTCATGGAGGAGAACCATAATGTCCACAAGAATCCCTGGGCATGACCGCAGTCATTCGGATGGAGATTATGGAGCATGCACCGGTAAGTGCAGACCTCGCCCCCGGTGATTACCACGTGTTCAGTCCACTGAAGAAGTTCCTGGTAGGCCAGAGGTTCATTTCCGATGACGATGCGAAAACCGCTGTCTGGCGGTGGTTCCACTCTCAACCAACCTAATTCTACAACAGCGGCATCTCCAAATTAGTGGTGCGATGGGACAAATGCCTGAACCGGGGTGGTGACTATGTGGAAAAATAGTGAAAGGTGCTTAGAACACTGCCTGTACTTTGATTTCCCTGTATGTGTGTTATTGTGGCTGAATAAAAATAGGGGCAAAGACTTTTCGATTTGCTTCATACTTCATCTTCAGGATGGAAAATTGAAGCTGAAGGCACTGTGTTCCTCTGAAATGTCCTTAAACTTCTACCAACCTAAGCACAGTATCATATACCGTATCATGAGCCAAATGAAACTGCTGTTTGTGGATGACCTGATTTCATATTGTGACTTCAAACAACTGTACCTACGTAATCTAAATGTCTGATATCTGGAGTCATCCTAACGATGGAGGCACACATTCCACCGAAACGTTAGTATCCACCTATCAGACTGCAGCGTGGTGTGTTTCACCAGAACCCTGGTATCTGCCTGCCAGACTACAACACAGTGTTATAGCACACAACGTCCCCACCAAGGAACTTGATGATTATACAGCTGTCCAGTTTTGTCAGGAAAGTTACCTCAAGGACTTGTAGCTGAGATGGGGGAACACAAATACTTTTCATTTCCGTGCATCCTGTTGTGTTATTGTATACAATTCTTTGTTGGAGTCTGTCATAACACAACAACATAACGGTCAAGGTTAAAATTACCTAGCTACATGTTTCGGCTTCTTAAAGCCATCTTCATGCAAAGAGCATGATTACTAATTGTGCCTGAATATAGTAATCATTTGTTTTGCCTGATGATGGCTTTAAAAAGCCGAAACATGTAGGCGTGTAATTTTAACCTTGACCGTTATGTTGTTGTGTTATGACGGACTCCAATAAAGAATTGAACACAAATATGTACAATATTTTTGTTGGAACGTGCTGGAAAGCATCCACTTGGCAAAGCAAAAGTGGTGGAAGGAAGATATCAAACCAGATCTTGACAAAACTGGGTATAAGACTGGATCATGATGTGTCCACTGGTGGGCTTTGGTATTAGCAACATTCCTCCTGGAAGTGTATGCTGAAAAGTAATGCCTCCATAAGACATTGGTAAAAATGTAGTTCTTACAGAAGTACCGGTACTCCTTGGTATGTGCAAGTTGGAAACATGTTTATTCATTTTAATGCAGTCAATTAATTAGACCCGTAACACTTGCTTTAATATGAACTAATTGTGGCCCATCAGGAGAGGTCAGAAGAAGGGTGGATTAGGAAGCTGTGCAGGTGTGGAGGAGGAATGCAAGGGGAGAAGAAAAAGTTCGGCCTACCTGATATCATTTATGTCATTGCACCCCCTGTGATTCCTTTTGGGAATGCAACTAATGCATTAATTGATGAATACCTGTGCATGAAATATGTCAGCTGTGGCTGGACTGCAGAAGTGGTTATTTGAGAAGTAGTTGTATAAAATAGTGAACAAAGTTCAAGGAATGTAGCCATTTCTATTTCAATGAAATTGCTCTTATGGAAAAGAAATCGGGGGTCATTACTTTCAGCATGCCATTGTACGAGCGCTGTCACCAGGAGAAGACAGGTACACTTCCCAATGAAATATCCCACATTGTGAAATTGGAAATTTCATAATGTTAATTGAACTCCATATTTAAATATTTGTTGCTTAAACCGCAGTGGTGTCCTGCATACAGAGCACACTTGCCATTGTATCACATCACTACCTGGAATGCAGAATTCCTATGGCAGCCATAACTTCTGCCTCTAACAATGATATTATATCAAAAGTGCCAGTTTTTTATAACATTAAAAAAAATGCTATAAGCTATCTATTCATGTATGGCTAGTCACATTTTCAGTTTCCTGTGGCATGTAACAGATACTGTGTACATCTGAAATAAAGTTACCCTGCTTTACCTTTTTAACTACAGTGTAAACCTCACGTTAAACATAAGAGCTGAAGCTTCCATGACAGCTGCAATGGATGAAATCTGCTCTGGCTTTCAGCCATGTTTGTTTGTTAAGTATCACCGATGTCACGCGTACCATCTCTCCCTGTCATCAGACGTGGCTGATAGCCCAAGAATATTTTATCAGCTTCTGTCACAACTTTTTTCCTTTAAAACAGGATTATGAGATCACATTGCTGTCTGTGTATGCTCCCCTCCCTGAACCTATTGATCCATGACTGATTATCATTAAAATATTCCTGCAGGTAAGTCAGTTACAAATATGAATAGAAAGGAAACATGACATAGGAACGAGTATGCTGCTGCTGCTGCTACTACTGCTGGTGTTGCTACTAATAAGGATGATTGCAGTTTTCTATAGGTAATGAGTAAAGTCTTCAAAATCCACCACTTTACCACCCACAATATCCCCCCCCCTCAATAAATTTTTTTCTTTCATATTTCAACACTATACAAGCTATGGATGAAGCCGAGCAAAATTTCTGCAATCAGGAATTAAATTTAAAAACACGCGGTACTTTACATTTTAATGTAGGAGGAAAACCCGATACGTTTGGTTTGATGGCCTTCGGTTATCAGGAAAACCTGGTACCTTGAACGACCTCAGGAGCACAGTATTGATCGCAAATTTAAAAATCCCGGTACTTTTTCATTTTAATGGTCTTCGGTTATTTGGAAAACCCGGTGCAAGACAGTATTTGAGCACATTTTGTGCATACAG